GGAAACCAATGAACTCACAAATAAAATGGGGAGTGGGGAAGAATGGAGAAGCCACGGCTTAGTGGCAACATATACAAAAGGCTTACAGTGGAATGACCAGAAAGCAACTGAAACTGGAAGGATATACCCCAAAACAGCAGCAAGGGCGATAGGTACGTTATAAAATTTGGTACAATTTTTATTTTCTTCTACTATATGCTTTCCTTTATCTTCCAAATTTCTTACGATGATAATTACTCAAGAAAAATTTTAAACTTTCTATTATTTAGGCACCATTAATATGGTCTCTAATAATGGAGGCAACAGTGCATCCCTCCTTTGCGCCGCTCTAACTGCTGAGTTGTGTCTGGTGTCATTTTTGAGGTGAGCAAATACATTGTGAATGATCTGGAAACCACACCAGATAGGGAAAGCTTGTAACAGAGAGCCCAGAGAAAACTTAGATGGAGACTAGAACCTGAATGCTGCCTTCAAATATGCCAATGGATGGCCTGTGCAAATGGCAGAAACTGACGGGAGACCAATGCCACCCCCACAGAAGGAAGGACACAGCTGGGCAAATACTTCAGGTTCTGGAGGGAATTCTAACACAGGGCAGGCAGCTGAACTAGCTGGCCCTCAGCACCTTCCTCAGCCTGAATTTTGGAATTTTTAGAAATTGAAAGTGTTCTATCAGAATTCACTTCAAAAGCACATTTTCGAACTGGTGAAATCTCAATGAAGTCTATAGTTGAGTTAACAGTACTGTACCAATGCCAACTTCTTGTTGTTGTTTCCCCCCCACAAATGTACCATGGTGATGTAAAATACTGACATTAAGGGGAAACTGGCTGAAGGGTACATGGCAAGTCTCTGTACTATTTTTGCAACTTTTCTATAAATCTAAAATTATTCCAAAATAAAATGTTTAGTTTTAAAAAATTAAATTTTTGAACTCACACAAAAGCACTGTTCTCAGATTAAAGGTCACGGAATGTCCTGAGAGCTGATGAGCTAGTGCCCTTCGGGCTTCAAGTATCAGAACTGTAATCTATACTTATGATTTACAGTTTATAAAACATACATTATTTTATCTCCACCCCAAGAACGTGACGTACACAGGGTTGGTATTATCATTCTGTACAAGGCAAGAAACCAAGGTGGCTCAGCAAGTGCAGGGTCACTCAGCAGTTGGCTGAGCTGGGTTTTAAATCTGTCTCTTCATTCTAAGGTTCCTTCCACCACAAACTACCAACTCTCCAAGATCTGGAAAGATCCTACTCTGCCTCCAGTGAAACTTTGGTTATGTGTCCACTGGGTTTGGTTCTCTGAGTTTTATTGCAGATGGAAAGGGTGTTCACTGTCATACTGTTTGCAAGAGTGATACATATCTGAATGTCCGTCAGCAGAGGAATGATTAAATAAATTACAGGTCCTTCATTCTGGAAACACTATACAGTTGTTATGAAGAATGTGGCAGATCTGCAGATACTGGGACAGGACATGTGGTTAGATGAAAAAAGCAAATTGCTGGGGCAGTATGTGTAATATGATTATATGTTTGTAAAAAAAGTAAATTAAAATTAAATTATAAACACACGCACACACACACACATAGAGAAAAGGTCAAGGAGGCTATTCCGAGGGACATGGAATAGCTTTATAACAAAACAACAAAGGGAAACAAAGTTCAGAAAGCCTGGGATAAAACGGGGGTTGTGATGGCTTACAGCTTCCCCCCTTTATCTCACATTGCTACCCCATTTCTCTCCTATCTGCTGGCCAAAAAAGGCATAATAATGTTACTCCCTTCCCTTCTCATGCTTGGCAGGACTGTAGCACCGGCTTTTCTTTCAGGTGGGAGGCCTGGGGCCCAGGACCACACCAAGATTTGAGGCTCCACCCAAATCCTACCCAACAGCAAAGAAACTTCAAGATCTCCTTTGCTTACCCCCCCTTTTTTTTGTTAACCCAGATACAGGTTGGTTTCTTTGTGGCCCTTGTTCCCCTAAATCTCTTATCACTAAGGCATCAGATCCTTTGCCACCTGAGTCTGCCAACCTACTTATTTGCTCTAGAGCTGCCCAACAAGGGCGGTTCCCCCAACCCTCCTTCCCACGGGAAGTGCCCTGGAATTCTGCTCCTTTTCTCCTTCTTTCGCTTTCATGTGGCCGGGCCAGTGAGGTGGAGTGGCATTTTAAGAGCAGTATACCATGACAGAAAGAACACAGGCCCTGGAGTAAATCAGACTTGGCACAAAATCCTGCCTCTGCCATTATTAGCCCCATGACCTTGGGAGAATTTCTTAACCCCTGAAAATTTCTTAACTTTCCTGAACCTCAGTTTTTGCTTCTGTAAAATGAGAATAAAACCTGCTCATAGGGTTGTGGTGAAAAATAAGCAAGATGAAAAATACTAACACAGAGTGAGGAAAACCTAGGAGGCAGCTAGTGTGATTAAGTAGGAAGGGATGGGCTTTACTTTCGGGCAGGCAGAGCCCACAATGGCAGGTTCCACTCCGTCCTACTTCCAACAGGGCGACCTACGCCCTAGGCACAGCAGGCACAGTGCCTAGGGCCCACAATACTTCTAGTGGCCCATGAAAATGCTTTTTAATGATTTTAACTTATTTTAAAATCACAAGAAAAAACAGAATGTTTAGGTCAAGGAAGTGATAATACTGTCAATCATTAATTATAAATGCAACTGTTAATGATTATATATATTCTTCCTTACACCAACACAGTTGTAAAATATAATATTTTATATGTGTATTTTTTAATGGAGGAACGAGTCCACAAAGGTAAAAGTACCAAGGCCCATGAAAGTCACAATGTGGCTCTCACTTCCAGCACTCCAAGAGGTTATCTCCTTTAGGAAATCTTCATGGGCTGATGGGGGGAAAGGGTATGAGGGGTCGGAGGTGGGGAGATGGGGAAGAGACGTGCAAGACCCTCAATGATCTTACCCTGTTAGTGATTTCTCTCTTCCTGTCTCTGAACTTAATATTTGCCTCGACGTGGGTAGGGGACTGTATGGTACGTCCTAAAATACCACATCACTCACGTCACTAGGTGGGTCAAGAATGTAAATATACAACTCAACAACAAAACTAGCCAATTAAAAAATGGGCAAGGGGTTTGAATAGACATTTCTCCAAAGAAGAGATACAGATGCTCAACATTACTAACCATTAGGGAAATGTAAATCAAAACCACAATGAGATACCACTACACACCCATTAAAATAGCTACTATATAAAAAGAGAAAACAATGAGAATATAGAGAAATGGGAACCCTTGTGCACTGCTGGTGGGAATGTAAAATGGTGTAGCCGTTGTGAAAAACAGTACGGTAGTTCCTCAAAAAATTAAACATAGATTTACCACATGATTCAACAATTCCCCTTCTGGGTATATATACCCAAAAGAATTGAAAGCGGGGAATTGAAGAGATATTTGTACACTCATATTCATAGCAGCATTATTCACAATAGCCAAAACATAGAAACAACCCAAGTATCTATCAATGGATGAATGGATAAACAAAATGATATCTATTATATGTATATATAAACATATATAAATAATATAGTATTCAGCCTTAAAAAAGGAAAGAAATTCTGACACATGCTACAACATGGATGAACCCTGGAAATATTAGGCTAAAGTGAAATAAGTTAGACACAAAAGGACAAATATCATATGATTCCACTTAAAGGAAGTACTTAGTCAAATTTATACTAAGACAGAAGGTATAATGGTGGTGGTTACCAAGGGCTGGGGGAAGAGGGAATGGGGAACTATTGTTTAATAAATACAGAAGAAAAAGTTCTGGAGATGGATGGTGGTGACGGCCGCACAGCGCTGGGAATGTTAATTCTTAATATTACTAAACTGTTCACCAAAAAATTGTTAAAATGGTAACACATTATGTATCATTTACCACAAATTTTAAAAAAGGGGGGGAAGAATGTAAATAGTTCCTCTTTTGCCCAAGTGCTAATTCCTCAGCTAGCTGCCGAAGCATCCCCTCGTTTCAACACTCTCCAGGGGAAACGCGACCTCTGCAGCTTCACATATGGTGCTACCTTTATCTGGAACACCACTACACCCTGCTTTGTCTGGACACCCCTCAGTCATCTTTCGAGGGTAAGGGCTCCACACCTTCCCCACTCATGAAACCTTTGCTGACCAATCTAAACTTCTACCCGTTTCTCCCTTTTCTCTTACCAGACAACTAACAGTCTGAATTGTGTGCATCACTGGTCATAGAGGACAGTGTCTTAGCTTTCTCTGGGGTTGTCACTCCCCTGTTTCCACATCAGTAAAACAGAGAATGTCTATCCTAATGACAAATGAAACTATGTATACGAAAACAAAGGTGTGTGGACCAACCAAGTTTTTGTTCCTTCCTTCGCCTAACTAGCACATAATGAAAATAATAGATGAATGTATTATTTTATAACCAGCTCAGCTTGGTTATGAAATGAAAGGTGGGAATCCATCTTCTATGTGATGAGGAACAATGGGTTTTTGACACCGGAGTGTATCATCTGAGTGGAATTAGAAAGCAGGTAGAATTCCTTTCTAGGAAAAGGTGTGTTTCTAACAAACATCCAATAATAATAATAATAACAACCAATGTTATTGAATGTTTACTAGATCTGAAACACTTTACTTTTATAAAGGTTGTCTTATTTAATCCTCACAAATACTATTTCCCCCATTTTACAAATGAGGGAACTGGAGCTTAGAGGTTAGATAGCTCACTCAGGGTCACAAAGCTGTAAGTGGTAGTGCCAGGAACTGGCCCAGGCCCATGAGCCTTAGATGCAAACTGCACTAAAGGGCACACTAGTTGCCTTCTGCCTTCTCCCATCACCTTTCGGGGGTGAGGCAGCCAGAGAGAGGCGGGAGGTCTTCTCACCTGGTCTGAGGCCTCAGGGATTCAAGGGTGGGCTAGGGGCGAGGATGGTGAACAAGTGTCCACTGTTCCACCTGGAAAAGGCCTTCACCTACCTCCTGGAGAAGGCGTGGCTGGGAGGCCAGTCCCTGCAGGAAGTGAGTGGGCACCTTGAGGACCCGGAGAAGGTGTGACTGGGAGGCTGGCCATTGCAGCAAGCGATGGGCACCTTGAGGAAGGAGCAGTTCTGTAGGAAGATGGAAAACACGGGACTGAGGTGGGTGGGCTACTGCCCGGGGCTGGAGACAACTGGAAATCCCAGAAAAGCCGTTGATGCCAGATTTTCCCGAGTCCCTTCCCCATGCCCTGCTTTCCCCGGGGAGCTAGTCCTGAACCCTTGTTTCGTCTCCCTGAGCATCTCCCCAGGCTGCAGTGATCAAGGGCAGACCCGTGAGACCACCGGTACCAGGGGCGCAGTGTCTCCGAATGTCCTTTCCGGAGACCCTTTCACCGGGTCACATTTACCTACGAGATTTCGCAACGCCCGATAAAGTTAGGCACCGGGATGCAAATTAGCAGTGGCCCCAGTTTCTCTAAATCGCGGTCACGGGTACCGAGCTCCTACACTGCCGGCAGCTTGGGCGGAGCCATCCCCCCGGCGTCAGGGGGCAGGGGGTGCGCAGGCCCCGCGCCCAGGCTCGGGCCGCGGGGGGCTGGGACGCGCGCTGGGGGGGCAGTGGTGGTGGGTGAGCCAGCGAAGGGAACTGGAGGCGAGGGTCCCCGGTCGCCTTTTGGCCTGAGACGTCCGGCCCACCGGGCTTGGCCAGCTCCCCAGTCCTTCCTTCACTGTCCACCGGCACCGTCCGCGCACAGTCTAG